GTTATAACTATTCCGTTTTGATAGTATCACATTTGACATGCACGAATCATATATTTACATTGTTATGCACACAAGAGTTTACCCTGTAGTCATGGCTTCTTGTTTTCAATACTAAGTTGTGTCCCTTTTGCTGATTGCCAAGGCTCTCTCGCGAAACTCTCTGGCTTCATCCGGTTTTCCTTGATACTTTAACAGCGATTCTAAATTATATAACGTTTGAACCAACATGGGATGATTGCTGCCATAGGCGATCTCTTTAATTGCGAGTGCTCTTTCGTAGAAGCCTTTAGCTTCATCAAGTTTGTCGATACATACTGAGAGTACTGCCAGAGCTTCTAAACTGTTAGCTATATTCAGATGGCTACTACCGTGTCTTTCTTCGTTGATTTGAATGGCTTTGCCGACATACTCTTTAGCTTTTTGATAATCCTCAATTTCCACGAAAAGTACTCCTAAATTATGCCAGTGAGATGGCTCGTCCGCTTCGATTGCTAATGCTTTTTCGAAATATTCTTTGGCTTGATTGAGTTTTCGCTGAGCGTTCAAAGCTTCTCCTAAGAAAGAATAAGCCCTAGCCGCTGTAGGATGATTGGCTTCGTTACGCTTTTCAAGGTGCGTCAACACTAATCGTAAATTATCTATCGTTATAGCCACCTTAGGATGATTAATGCCCAAACTGCTTCGCTCAATTCTCAGTGCTTCTTTGAAACACTCTAGTGCTTCATAATGTTTTTCCAGTTTGTAAAACAATGTTCCCAAATTGCTACGCGTTAAAGCCACACTAGCATGACTGGCAGAGAAGCTTTCTTTAATTGACAGTGCTACTTTAAAACATTCTTTTGATTCATTAAGTCGTCCAAGTTTGTTCAACACTGATCCTACATTACTTAACGCTGTAGCCAACTCATGATAATCAGTAATTGAAATTTCTTCTTTGGAGATTGCTTTTACATAAGGTAATTTATCAAGTTTTCCAAGTTTGACAAACTTTTTTCTTAGATTGTTTAACGTTATAGTTAACTCAGGATGATTGCTGCCGTAAGTGATTTCTTCTATTGTCAGTGCTTTTTCGTAACAATCCTTCGCTTCATCAATGATTTCGAGTTTTTTCAACACTAATCCTAAATCATTTAACGTTGTAGCCAACTCAGGATGATTGCTGCCGTAAGTGCTTTCTATTATTGCCAGTGCTTTTTCGTAACACTCTTTTGCTTCATCAAGTTTCCAGAGTTTGTTCAACACTAATCCTAAATTATTTAACGTTGTAGCCACCTCAGGATGATTGCTGCCGTAAGTGCTTTCTTTAATTGCCAGTGCTTTTTCGTAGTATTCTTTTGCGTCATCAAGTTTCCCGAGATCCTCCAACACTGATCCTAAATTATTTAACGTTGTAGTCACCTCAGGATAATTGCTGCCGTAAGTGCTTTCATCTATTGCCAGTGCTTTTTCGTAAAATTCTTTGGCTTCATCAAGTTTCCCGAGTTTCTCCAACACTGATCCTAAATTATTTAACGTTATAGCCACCAAAGGATAATTGCTGCCGTAAGAGCTTTCACTTATTGCCAGTGCTTTTTCGTAACATTCTTTTGCTTCATCAAGTTTCCCGATATCTTTCGAGAGTACTCCCAGACCACATAAACTGTAAGCTATATACAGATAGCTATTACCCTTTCTTTCTTCGTWGATTTGAATTGCTTTCTCCAAACACTCTTGAGCCTTGTCATAGTTCTTAAGGTCAATCAAGAGTAATCCAAATTTTTGCATACAGTCGTCGCTACTTCTTCGTTACATGAGAGTTTAGATATTGTATAGAGGGACTGAACTGCATCATTTAAATTCATACCAAGGCTAAGCTGGATGTGGTGAGTATGCGAATCGCTTGTTGGAATAGACTTGATGTCTTGAGTAGTAATCAAGATATGTCCTTTTCCATTATGCAGCAGCTTTTGACCTGAGTGCGGTATAAACTTGGAAACCATCTTTAAATCTTCAACGTTGTCAACAATGATYAGCCACGAGGAATATTTCTGAGCCTTTGTAACTACAAACGTTTGTAACTGAGCAAGTTTCTCTTCTTGAGAAATATTTTTTGATGACATGAGGTATGATACGTCGTTGCATTGAAGCTGGAATGCCAGTTTTTTGTACGACTGAGTCAAATTCTCGAGACTCGATGCATTTAATGTGGCCACGAATTTGGACGATTYGTCGTTGTCAATTTCATCGAAGTGTTTTTCTCCAATCTGTCTTGCAAGCTCGCTTTTTCCACAACCAGGATTTCCGGATAAGTATGTTACTGTGATGTGATTCGGATACATTGCTTTTAGTCGACTAATCTCGTCAAGTGTCATCGATACTTTTTTATGACGGTGGACAACATCGTGAGATGGCTTTTGAGGCAAAGTGCAAAAGGACTCACATTGCTCAAATTTACTTTGAACCTTAAATTTTGCTTTTAATTCTGAAAAAGAAACACATTTTTTGGCATAAAAAAATGTTGTACAAAATAAATAAGAATATTACAGATATTATTTTTCAAATAAGGAATTAAGAATTTTAGTTCTTGACTTAAAAATAATCAAATTGACAAATAACTGATTTTTTCTTTTTTTCAGGGGTGATTTTACGGATAACTTAGCCACTCGAAATTGAGTGGTTAGTGAAAAATCACTACTATACTACTGAAAACAACAGCTTTGAAAAGTCTAATAGAAACTATACCAATCGAAAATTTACTTCGGAAACAAAGCAGGACGACTGCCTCTGATCTTCGCTCGTTCTCATTTTTACCGCAAACCTTTACAAAAAAATTATGGTAAGGTTCAGTGGTGACCTCGTCATACATTTCTTTGTAAATTTTGATGCTTTTGAAGTTCTGGCATCATTTGAGATTTTCAACTGATTTTTCTCAAATTTGGTAAGTTGACTGATTTAAGGTCGTTCGTAACGATGTAATCTTTACGTAGGTGAAGCAGAAACCTTTTAAAATGTTTAATAGACAAGGGGCATGTTTTATATATATTTTTACTACAATTGTTAAATCTCTCGATTTCTGATTGGGTGAAAGCCGTGATAAATGAAAGTACATACAACCGTCGAAAGGTGTTTTTTTTTCTAAGATTTTTGTTTAATTGCAGAATAAATTTTGTGTTCAGAAAAAAGGCAAATTTATGTTCTTTTATTTACCCCGGTTGACGCCATCCCCGGGGGG